AATAGAACGATAATTGGTATTAAATATCCAAATTTAGCTTGACAGTTTAATCTAGTGTATGTTTTTCTTTTGTCATAATTTGATTTAGTGATTACGAGATTTTTGTTTCTGGATTACGAATTTGATAATCTAGAGAGCATAACATGTTACTAGGGAGATATATTATGCAGTATATTTTATATCATAATATAACTCTTTTTATTGAATGACTTATTTTGTTTCAAAAATCAAAATAAAGAAAATATACATATTTCATATGGCTTTGGCTAAATACATTTGTTGATGTATGAAAATGTAACAACAATATCCGAACTGTATACTAAGATGTATACTCGGTTCGGTTTGCACAAACAAGGGCGGAGCTGTAATGGGCCCAGGGCCCTGAAAATTTTAAATAATTTAGGGGTATGTTAGTAAATTCACAATATTGAAAAGAAAAAAAAATATATATATATGCAAATTGCAAGCCGATTACTTTCATCTTCCATCCTCCATATATGGATAAAAAATCGCTAGCCTACCCTTGAGATTTGAGAAAGCAAGAGTTCATCCCCGATTCCGTATCGCCATTCGTCCGTCCGTCCGACTTCGGCAAACACTCTTTAGTAAAGTTTTTTTTTTCCCTAATATTTAAAGTTTGAATCAGAGCACTGGTATGGAAAATTGGACCATTGGTTTTACTGTATTAGGTATATATGTTTTTTTGTGTTGAATGAATTGTGTTTTCAATTTGCAGTCAGGGACTTCCAAGTTCCAATGTTAATACCAAAAGCAAATTGGGGATAAAATTTGGTTGTCTGTTTTGGGGTGATCGATTGGTGGATTTCTTGCTCGTATGGTGTAAAATTTGTCTTAATGATTTTAGTTCATGAGGATAATTACATAAGCGGAATTCAAGTTCATTAGTGTATGATGATTATATATGTTTAGATTGGATTTGTAAGGTAAAAAAGAAAAAAAAAAAAAAGCATGTTGGCTTGTGAAGATGATGGTGTACAACACTTTGCTTGAACTTCGTGCGTTATTTTTTATGTGTTTGTATAGTTGTATGTTGTACTCGGACATTGCTTAAACATAAAAGAGAATTGTTGTGATCTCTTATTGTTATCAATGTTATTGCGAGTTATTTTCTTGATTTTCTTGAATATTAAGACAAATGTATTATATTTATTTAGTCGGTACTTGTAAGGATTTATTTACTTTTATGGTTGATGTATTTTTTTAATTTTTATATTTGTTATTATTAGTTGGACCCCCTCGATAAAATTTCTAGATCCGTCACTGTACACAAATATAAATGTTTGATGAGTTTTGAACGGATGGTGATTATATCTGTGACATTTATCTTATTAATGAGAAAATATTCTCCTTGCATTTAATGTTGTCTCTTCTTCCTTTAGTTTTATAGGAAATGTGAGGTCTTATTACAATCTTCTTTAGGACTTTCTTTTTTATTTTCAATTGCAAGATATTTTATGAATATTTAGTCACACTACATTTAATGTTTTGTATACATAATCTAATCTCAATATAAGTGATGAAACCGGGCCGCGATACGTGTCCTTGCTTGTTTAGCACCATTAGATGGTTGATTACCGGATCTCTCCGCATTTGATGCGTATTGTACGGACGGTTTCCAATGATGATTAATGTTAGTCGGACACTCCACTCCTTATCTGTTCGTTCACCTCTCATATTTTGTCTGTTATATATCGTTCCTTCATCCCCCATGGCGCGAACCCGAATGGACTTTGTTTGACTTTAATCCTGACTGTTCGGTTTTATACCACGCACAACATTTTTTGAAAATTTAAATCTTATAAATATTAACTAAAACATAAAATTAATAGAAACTTTCAGTTAAAAATACTACATGTAATAATAGTGATATTTATGAAGTATATTTATTAAGTTGTATAATAGTGATATTTATGAAACTTCTTTCCTAAGTATATAACTTTACAATTTTATTGTGAGGTATGTTTATTAAGTTGTATGCCATAATAATATATTAGTTTAATATGCAAATAGACTCATGTAATTTTAAAAATGATCAATAAAAAAGATATTTCATATTTAAAGTATTATTCATAATAATTTATTTTAATTGAATTTTATTTAATATTTAATATAATAAAATGTGAAAAGTACTAGTGAGCTAAACCAAACAAAGGCCTTCAATTTATTTCAAAGTACACCTTTTGCCCTTTTCCTTTTAGCCGTCTGAGTCTGACGAGTCTTCACGACATCGTTTCTCTGTCTCTCTCTCCGTACAGCGCCGCGTATCTATACCTCGTCGCTCTTTTTCTCTCTCTAAATATTCATCGGTTTATTTTCCATACGCCGGAAAATTGGAAACATTACGCCAGTCTCCTCCGATTTTTTTATTCCGTGTTTAGCAGACGCTCACGATACCCGTAGAAACGTGTGTAGGTGTGTCTGCACGATTTTTCAATCTGTGTCGCTTATTGTCATTTTGATTGTTGATTGATTGATTGATGTGGTTGAACTTCCGGTATGAAGGCTGTCAATTCCTTATTTACAGGTTTTCATCAGATATTTGAAGTCGTTGATATGAAATAAAGCGAAGTGATAAAAGGGATTCCGTGAAATTGAGCGATCTAGGGTTTTTTTTCTCTTTCTGCAATCCATCCCGGTGATAAAAAATTTCAGGGTTGAAGTTAATTTATTGATGGGGGAGGTGTTTTAGGTTTTGCTTCCCCTGATCATAGTTAAAGTGAAAGCTTGAAGGGAATTTGGGAGGTTGTTTTTATGCTTGAAATTGGGGAAAATGCAAAAAACCACATTTTATTATGCATGGGAGGGTTTTTCGGGGTAAGGAGAGCTGCAGGAGTTTAGAGAGGAGTTGCCGGCGGCATATGCGGTCAGTCCTGCCGTTAGCAGCTACCAACAACGCTGTAGTTCTTGCTGGTGATAATCAAACTCACCGTGATTCGTCAATCACTACCTCTGGCAGTAGTGATTCATTCTTCAAGGTATTTTCTTGGTGGGTTTTAGTTATATATTTGGTTCAAGTAGAGATTCATTTTAGTTTTTTTTCTTTTAAAACTTAAATTTGTTATAAGTCTCATATTTTGTCTGTTGGGAGGTTCAAATATCATTATGTGATTGGATATTGGTGACGAAATGCGAATTTATTTCCTTGTTCAGTGATACCATGCTTCGTGTCGAGTGTTGACAAGAGTATTATTACTGTCTACCGATTCCTGGTTTCTCTTTCCAGCTTGGAGTTTCTCATTTATCATCTTTAATAGAAGCAGTACAACACCCGTAAAATACACGGATGTTATTAAGAAATTTATTGAAAAATATAAAAAAAATAAAACTATTTTAAAATTTGAAATACTTCTTAAAAGACTACATTAATATTTCCATTTAAAATGACACCCATGACCTGTAAAACTCACTCATAAAGGTAGATATGGTTATTTTTATTGTATATATGCAATATGAATGCCAAATAGAAAATTGTCGAAAAGATGATTAATTTGATGTATCATATATTAAAAACAGATAACAAATATAAAAATTATTATGCTTTAAATATATTTATAATTTAAGTTAGCCAAGTGTTTTATAATTTTAAAAATTCTATAGGATAGAAAGTCCAGACTACTCAAAAGCATCATAAATTGACTCATAGGAATGAAGCACTAGAGATTGGTACAACTTGCGCTTGAGGAGCTCTTATATATGGACTCTCTCTCTCTCTCTTTCTCTTGCGTGGGCTGTATATGCTCAATCTGCAAATGTCCTAAATTTGCAATTTTTTTCCGTCTACATGTGGAAAGCTAAAATTAGCTGAATCTTTGCTGTTCCTTTGGCTTATGTTCTTAACTTCTGTGGTTTTGGGGTGGGGATAGCGGGAATGTTGGCTTTCTCATGATGCAGCTGAACTTTTTCGAATATCCCAATTAATGGTTATTAGATGCTTTCTATGTCTAGGAAATGCAGGGGTGTGTGCACATTTTTCCAAAATACATTGAGCCAACCATTTCTGTAATTTGCAATTATTACACCAAGCTGAGTGCATTAGTTGAAAAAATGAAACTAAATGATTCACAAGAAATATTCGACTATTACCTCATAAAGGTTCTAGAGGCGCCATTTCTTGACTTTAAAGTTGTTTCCTTGAGAATATTTAAATGCAGAAGTTTCTTGATTTAGCTCAATGTAATTTGCGTTTGATAGCCTCTATTCGTCTAAGGATGGATAGTACTTTTCACAATGGTTTTGTGCCTTCCATTGGCCCCTCTGTTTGATACTATGTATTTACGATCTTGCAGGACGGTCGCAAAATTAGGGTTGGTGATTGTGCTCTTTTCAAGCCCCCAAAGGGTTCTCCACCTTTCATTGGTTTAATTCGTTGGTTGGAATTGGACAAGGAGAAAAAATTGCTGCTAGGTGTGAATTGGCTGTATCGGTCGTCTGAGCTGAGGCTTGGGAAAGAAAGTTTGTTGGACTGTGCACCTAACGAAATTTTCTATTCCTTTCTAAAAGGAAAAGTTCCGGCTGCATCTCTTCTCCATCCCTGTAAAGTTGCATTTCTTCCTAGAGGTGTTGAGCTTCCCGTTGGAACTTCCTCTTTTGTTTGTCGGCGTGTCTATGACAGTGCAAACAAGAGTTTGTGGTGGCTAACAGATCAGCAATTCATTAATGTTAGTTTTTCTTTTTCCTTTCAATTTCTTTTCTTTTTACTTGGTTTAGTGCGGGGAGTGAAAGCTGTAGGGTGGTGGTTTGGTAAGAAAATGGGAAATGGAAAATTATTTATAGTCCGTAAGCTCATTATTACTGTGTTTACCTTTCCGATTCTAAAGTTGCGCGTGTATGTCAGGATCAGCAAGAAGAAGTAGATCAGCTTTTATACACAACAAGGTCAGAAATGAGTCAGACTTTGCAGCCTGGTGCTCGTTCTCCAAAACAAAGTAATGGTCCAACTTCCACCTCGCAACTTAAACATGGTTCAGACAATGGTCAAAATAGTGGCAATGCCCCTTCTCAAGCCAAAGGAAAGAAGAGGGAAAGAGGTGATCATGGTTCTGAACCTGTCAAACGTGGACGTTCTACACGGCCTGATGACGGTGATTCTATTCAGCCCAAAGCAGAAGGTGACTTAAAACATGAGATAGCAAAAATAACAGAAAAAACCGGTGTGGTGGATTTGGATGGGGTTGAGAAGCTGGTGCAGTTGATGCAACTGGATACGCCGGAGAGAAAATTGGATTTAGGTAGCCGCTCCATGCTTGCCGATGTATTGGCTTCCACTGATAAGGTCGATTGCCTCAGTCGGTTTGTCCATCTGAGGGGCTTGCCTGTACTTGATTGTTGGCTGCAGGATATTCACAAAGGAAAAATCGATGAAGGTAATAATATAAAGGACGGTGATAAATCAACGGAGGAATTTCTTCTCACTTTACTTCGCGCGCTTGGTAAAATTCCGGTCAATCTCCAAGCCCTTCAAACGTGCAACATAGGCAGATCTGTAAATCATTTACGATCCCATAAAAACATAGAAATTCAGCGGAAGGCACGTACTTTGGTCGACACTTGGAAGAAACGTGTTGAAGCTGAAATGATTAACATTGATGGGAAGTCTGGTTCAAACCAAACTGGATCTCCTTGGCCATCCAAATCACGCCTTTCTGAGGCTTCTCATACTGGTAGCAGAACTCCCGATGGTGCCATGAAAAGCTCCCTTACTCAGAATTCTTCAGCAAAAATTAGTTCCGGCAAGTCCTCACCTGGAGAGAGTGGCAACAAGTATGCATCCTCATCTCCTGGGCTTGTTAAACCAGCTCCAGCTCTTGCATCAGGAAAGGATAGCCAGCTGAGAAGTTCTGGGGGAGGCAATGTTGATGCCCCTCAAATTAGGGAGGACAGGAGTAGCAGTTCTAACCAGTCTCATAACAATGGTCAGTCTTTGTCTGTGAAAGATGATGTGAAGAGTTCCACTTCACATCCAGCAATTGTTAATAAGACGTCAGGCACTATTACTCGTAATCGAAAAAATAGTGGTTTTGTGGGTACATCAGCAACTGTTGGTCAGAAAGAAACAAGCTCTACTAGAAATTCTCCAGCACACAAGAATACTGTTTTAGAAAAGCCTTCTCACTCTTCTATAACTGGTGAAAAGGCTGTCGAGGGGCCCATCATTGATGGAATCAGCCATAAGCTAATTGTTAAGATACCAAACTGCGTGAAAAGTCCTGCCCAGGGGATCAGTGGTGAATCAACGGAAGATCCTGTTATTATGAGTAGCCAGGCTTCTTCTCCTGTGCAGAAACTTAAGCAATCCAATCCTTCTCCAAATGACAAGGGTGAAGCTTCTCAGCATAAATTCACATCAGATGTGAACAATGACCAGACAGATCTTCCTGAGGATGGGCAAAGCGTGAACACCGAAGTCTCCAATAGATTAAATGATATCCCTGCATCAGACAAATTGAATTCTGTACAATTACATGCTTCTTCTTTCAGCCCCATGAAAGCTCTAGTTGAGAGCTGTGCCAAGTACTCAGAAGCTACTTCATCACTGTCGCTTGATGATGATGTTGGCATGAACTTGCTTGCCAGTGTGGCTGCAGGAGAAATTTCAAGATCTGATGTTGTTTCGCCTAATGATTCTACTGAAAGGACGACACCTGCAGTGGAAGAAGTTTGCTCTGGTGTTGAGACAAAATCTAAGTCTTCTCCTAAAGATTACTCTGCAGGAGTGCAGAATCAGGTTTACAATGATGGATGTGATGCGTTGTTGAGTGGCAGTAAAGACATTGACTCTTCATTCATGGAATCTAGATGCAACACTGACCCTAAGAGTGGAATTGATGGTATGGTGACAGAAGAAAAGGACAGTACTAATTTGCATAGTGTTGATGGTAAGCTAATGGTTGGTGATGGGGTATCGAAGGCACTAGAAGAAGGTAACACCAGGAAGTCGAAGGATCAAGGATTGAACATGTCATCCATATCTCTGCCAAAACAAACTTCTACAGTTGTTGTGCCTGTATCTGCAGAAAAGGCTAGTAATAAAGTACAGGGCCAACCTGAATGTGGCCAGAAGTCAGTGCCAGAAGCTGCTGGTTCTGACAAAATAGAACTCGGTGAGAAAGATTCTAAGGGTGACATGGGCACATCAGAAAGATCGGAATCAGATAAGGGTGTGCAGAAAAATGAGGGCATTCAGAATCATGATCCAAACAGTCACTGTGAAACCAGTCTAGAAAACAAGGAGATTTTAGAACATTCACATACTGAGAGTCAGTGCCTTGGTTCTGTGAAGCAGGAAGCACAGAAGGATGATTTGCGAGAAAAGAGCTGCGCTAGCGTTCGCTCTGGGAATACAGGGAAGTCTACATCCGCTTCTATAGGATCTGCTTCTTCCGCTCACTCTGGAGGAACTGATCCGTGTGAAAAAATGAAGTTCGACTTAAACGAAGGTTTTAGTGATGATGATGTAAAATTTGAGGAGCCTGCCACTTTGCCATCAACTGTGCAAATGGTTAACTCTTTACCATCTCCTGTTGGTTCTATTCCCATTAGCCATTCTGCCTCCATTACTGTAGCATCTGCTGCGAAAGGCACCTTTTTTCCTCCAGACGACCTTTTGAGAAGTAAAGTGGAGCTTGGATGGAAGGGATCTGCTGCCACTAGTGCATTTCGTCCTGCTGAACCCAGAAAACTTGCTGAAGTGACAGTTGGCAGTACCTATGATTCAATTTGTGCTGATGCGTCAACCAGTAAACATGACCGTTTCCCTTTGGATATTGATCTAAATGTGCCGGATGAAAGACTTCTCGAGGAAATGGCTTCTCGAGATTCAGTTTTGGCTGTTGAGTCGACTACTGATATGGCAAGTAAATGCGCCTCATTGTTAAGTGAGCCTCCGGGTTCTATGCAACGAAGTTTTGGTGGGCTGGATCTGGATTTGAATAGAGCCGATGAAGCAAATGATAATGTCCAATGCTCCACCAGCAGCAGCCATCACAAAGAGGCTTCCCTTGTGCACACCAAACCAGCAACTAATATACATATTCAGAGGGATTTCGATCTCAACGATGGGCCTACGGTTGATGAAGCTAGTGTAAGGCAGTTTCCAGTAAGTCAATTAGTGAAGGGTGGTTTAGCTGCACAGCTGCCTTCTGCCGGCTTCTCAATGAGCAATCAGGGGCCAAGCAGCTTCGCGTCTTGGTTTTCTCCCGGGAATACCTACTCAACTGTAGCCATACCATCAGTATTACCCGAACGAGGGGAGAATTCATTCCCCGTTTTTCCACCTGGTGCACCTCAGAGATCGTTTGGCCAATTCAATCCGGACATGTATCGTGGATCAGTACTGTCATCTTCTCCTGCAGTTCCTTACCCATCGCCTCCATTCCAGTACCCTGTATTTCCTTTCGGGACCACTTTTCCTCTCCCTTCAGGCACTTTTTCAGTTGGAGGTACTCCGTTTCAGGATTCGTCTTCCAGCGCAAGGATGTTTCCCTCTTCAATTAATTCGCAATATCTGGGACCTGTTGGTAATGTTGCACCCCAATTTCAGCGGCCTTTTATGGTTGGCCTTGCTGATGTCAACAACAATGGGGTAATGGCTTGCAACCGGGGGTGGGGCAGACAGGGTCTGGATCTTAATTCGGGCCCTGGCATCGTGGAAGGTGAAGTGAAGGAAGAAAATTTGCACCCGTCTGGCCAACAGTCTGTTTCCAGCTTTCAAACCCTTTCTGCTGAGGAGCAGGCCCGAATGTTTTCAGTTTCAGGTGGTATCCTGAAGAGGAGAGATCCCGATGGTGGCTGGGACAGTGAGCCTGCCAGACATAGACATTCTTCATGGCAGTAGAGTTTGAATTTTGGAACTTACAAATCCCTAATATCCTGTAAGTGTTATTATTGTGCTTTGTATACAAATAATAATGGATGAATGTATTTTGAAATGGGTATTTTTACATGTCTACATGTGGTTCCTCCATATGTGAACCATCTGTGACGATGAATTGATTTCGAAATAGGTATCACATTTCTACATGCGTTTGTTCATCTCTCTGTCCCTTTCTATATATTATCCAATGGTGATCTTTCTTTGTTATGATTAATAATTGTTTAGAGAAATTAATGTGTCTGGGGAATGGATCCGTATTAGTTTTTCAGTTTGGCTGGTTGTGTCGGTCAAGTTCACCATTGTTGACCAATGTATGCAGCAGAAATAGACCTGATGCATCATGTGCAACTATCATCTTAAATAAAGAAATAAAGATGTGCTTCTAATGCAAGTTCTTCTATTGCTTTTAACTCTGGAGAAATTAAACATTAGCTCCATGCACCATTTTCATTGGTCGCAGCCTGTCAGTTATAAATTGACTGACCACTGATTTAGTTAATAGGAAAATCATCTTACTTGTTAATAGAGTATAAGTCACAATCTGCCATTCTATTCCTGTGTCACTTGGATTTTTGATTTAGTTAATAGGAAAATCATCTTACTTGTTAATAGATTATAAGTCACAATCTGCCATTCTATTCCTGTGTCACTTGGATTTTTGATGAACTTTTTCGGGTGATAGCTGTGTTGTGTTCATATTTTGGCATTTGTGAAATATATTACAGGTAGAGGATTTTTGTTCTGTTTTTGTGTAAAACTTGTTTTACTGTGAACAGTGAATGAAGGTGGAAGGCAATCAAAGTTGTGAGATGAAGGCTGATTCCCAGCGGCCTGTGCTGTAAGCTTAAGGTAAGCTTCTGTTTTTTAAGCAGAAGTCTGAGTCAGATTTGTAATTGTTGAGTTTTGATTTAAAAGTCATTTCCATAAAGTGATGGGGCTGTGATGGATTAAGGTAAGCTTCTCTTTTTTAAGCAGAAGTCTGAGTCAGATTTTTAATTGTTGAGTTTCGAATTAAAAAGTCATTTCCATAAAGTGATGGGGCTGTGATGGATTGAGTAATGGCTATATAGTCATTAAGAGGGTGTTTGACTAGTAGTTCAATGACTGCATTGATTATTACATAATGCCATGTTTGAATACATTTATATTTCATCTAAAGTTTTCTTGCTACACTAACTCAAACTAAGTTGAGTGTTCATTTTGCTCTACTCAGCGTTTGAAGTCAAACAACCATTTTCCCGATGGTTGATATTTCTTCAGAAGATCGGTGGGGCTCTGTGAGTAGATTTGGTGATGCAGCCACACACTCCCGACTGTATATAGTCAAAAAACTGCAGGAAACATGAACACTTTTTGGTGCATAAGAGTACTCAGTACATTGAAAAAATGCAACTTCCTAACCT